GCTTGCCTTGCATGCATTAAGCCCTGGGTTTCACATACACAGAAAAAGCTGGAAGTGGTGCTGTGGCTCAAGTAGTACAGTGCTAGCCTTAAGCAAAAGCAGCTCAGGACAGTGCCCAGGCCCTGAGTTCAAGCCCCACGACTGACAAAATAAAATAAAAAAAGTTAAAGGCTAATGACAATGAACTGTTTGTATGATAATCTTGTGTGGTCTGGGGATCAACTCCTAAGCACTGTTTAACATGTGCACAAATGGTCCCATTGCATAAACAGACCCTGTCACAGTCTCAGCATATAGACGCAAGATGCAGGCCAAGGAAAGTGGCACTCCGGATCACCTTGCTCATGTTTTGTTCTGTTTCCATTTGTAAAGAGCGTTAACCACAATCTGCCTTTATATAGGAGAAATCTGGTTTATATTTACTACATCAATTCACCAGCTCACTGTCATAATTTGGTTAGAAGAGAGATTTGGTGCAGCTCTCTAGTGTGTATAACACAACAGTGTTTGATGACATCTGTCTGATGTCATGGTCATATCAGAAATGGAGCACACATAACCAATACAAGCTCACTGATTAATTTGATTCATCAAATATGCAAAAGCCAGCCCAAATTTTCAAATGTTTTCCTTTTCCTTTGGATAGTTTTAGAAATTGAACTCAGGACTTTGAGCCATGCCCCCACTCCTAAATGACTAAAACTCTTAGAAATACCTTGGACATTTTACAAAGAAAAGACGCTGCCACCACCTACTCAAAGAACTAAAAAGAGCTAGACAGGAGGCTGAGATCTGAGGATTGACATGTGAAGTAAGCCAGAACAGGAAAGACGGCGAGACTTATCTTCAGTTAAGAACCAAAAAGCTCAGAAGTGGTAGAAAGTAAGCCTTGATCAAAGAAAGCTCAGGGACAGCACCTAGGCCCTAAGTCAAGCCCCAGGACCAGTTTAAAAACAAAAAACAGCTGGGAAGGTGGTAGAGTGCTTGCCTTGCTTGCATGAGGCCCTAGGTTCCATTCCTCAGCATCACACAAGCAAAAAGAAAAAAAAAGCCGGAAGTGGCGCTGTGGCTCAAGTGGTAGGGCACTAGCCTTGAGCTAAAGAGCTCAGGGACAGCACCCAGGCCCAGAGTTCAGGCCCCACAACCAGACCCCCCCCAAAAAAAAACTAACAAAAAAATCCTACCAGAAAATGTGGCCCCTGAAAACCAAGAAGAATGATTTTTTTTTTGGGGGGGGTGTTGGTCATGGGGCCTGAACTCTGGGACTAGGCACTGTCCCTCAGCTCTTCAGTTCAAGGCTAGCACTCTACCACTTGAGCCACTGCACCACTTCTGACTTTTTCTGCTTCTGTGGTACTGAAGAATCAAACCCAGGGCCTTGTGCATGCAAGACAAGCACTCTACCACTGAGCCACCTTCCCAGACCTGAAAATGATTATTATATTATAAACTGCTAGCCTGAGAAAAGACCAAACTTCAAAGAAAGCAGGGGCTGTTTTTCTCTTTTTTTGGCAGCAATCGAGATCTCCTATTTGATAAACAGGCATTCTACCACTTGGTATAGCCATTCCACCAGGTCCTTTCTGCATCAGTATTTTCAAGATAGGGTCTCAGGGCACCCCTCAGCCAGGCTGGACTCTAATCTTACTATGTGTAAATCACTGCACTGCTGGGATGTCAGGCATGGTGCCACTGTGCCAAACCACCAGTTGAGAGGTAGTCTCTCAAACTTTGTTTTGGTCTGGGCTGACCTAAACTTTGATTGCCTGAGGAGTTCTGCCTCACAATTAGCTAGGGCTACAGGCCTGAGCTATTGAGCCAGATTAGGTACTGTTTCTATTGAACGTGTATCATTCTTACAATAATCTTAAGTCAAACTAGACTGTGTATTTACTGGGTTACTTAGAAAATAACTGACAAGGGCTGGGAAGGTAGCTCAGTGGTAGAGTGCTTGCCTTGCATGCATGAGGCCCTGGGTTCGATTCCTCAGCACCACATAAACAGAAAAAGCCGAAAGTGGCGCTGTGGCTCAAGCGGTAGAGCGCTCACCTTGAGCTGAGGGACAGGGCCTAGGCCCAGAGTTCAGGTCCACGACCAGCAAAAAAAAAAAGAACTGACAAAACAGTCTCTAACACATATGCAGTATGATATACAGCTAAAGGATGACATTCCTGATATCTGAGGTATTATAATAATTGGGTTGGAGAGGAAGACTCTCTAGAGGGGATACTATAGGTAGGCACACATATCTATATGAATTTCTGTACTACAATACACACCATTTGAGGAAAAATAGCTGTTGTGCATAACGAAAACAGATTATTATTAAGATTAGCATAAAATAATCTGAAAACTAAGAAAAGCAAAGTCTAGAAGAGTGCTCTGTTAAGAGAACACAGAGAAACACTCATACTTACAAGCCTCTTCCCCACCCCACCCCCTTTCCCCAAAACCACTTGAGAAGATGCTGGATCCTATGATTATTTGGGTACTACCCTATAAGCATCTCTCAGTCAACAGAAAGTTGCATAGTTTATACACTGTAATTCCAAAGTGAATGGATAGCATCCTCTTCGAGAGGCATCCACTCAACTTAAAGAAAGTAAAAGCTCATCAGCTCAGAAGGCCTGTCATTGCCCCATACGAACTCTCCAGGTGGTGTGAGAGATGAAAGTCATCTGTAAGCAAAGAGAAAGACAGGTGCAGGTCAAGTCCAATGTGTGCCACACTCAACACCTAAAATAAGAGTGTATCATTCTTGTGAATGTGAATGCTGTTTTATGAGTCAACTATACTTCATCAAAATTATCCTCCTTGCAGTGTGGACAGGGTGGCTTGACATAGTAAGCCTCAAAGCAGAGAGAACAGTAGCAAATATGTTACTGTGAAGGGGACTTGGAAGGTTTTATTGTTTTGTTTTTTTGTCAGTCCTGGGGCTTAAACTCAGGGCCTGGCCACTGTCTCTGAGCTTTTTTGTGCTCAAGGCTAGCACTCTACCACTTGAGCCACAGCGCCACTTCTGGCTTTTTGGTGGTTAATTGAATATAAGAGTCTCAAGGACTTTCCTACGTAGACTGGCTTCAAACTGCGAACCTCAAGAGCTCAGTGTCCTGAGCAGCTGGGATTACAGACGTGAGTCACTGGTACCCAGCTGAGACTTGGGTTTTTTTTAAGTCCAATGAGGTGAGTTATACAACAGTAATATTCAGGTGAAATACCAAGGGGAGACATGATCTTGAATACAGAACACTGCCACTTCATGATAGGACACATTCTGAAAGCTGTGTCATTTACAACCTCATCACAGTACAAATGCACAGTACTAATGCAGTGTACTGCATTGTAAGGGAAAATGAGCATATAGGCTAAAAAGAGATCTGGAACCTAAATGTCAGTGCTCTAATCCTGGCTCTGCCACTTAGTGGGAATGCTTGTACAGATCACAAAATCTGAGAACCGATTTCCTAACCTTTAGAACAGTCATAATACCATTACCTAACCTCAGGAATAGTTGGTATACATTAAATGTGCATTCAAAATGTGTCTGGCACAAAGTAAGGATGCAGTAATCGCTAGTAATCACGATTATAGTATCCAACCTGCTTCAATAAATTCATTGAATAAATTACAAGGTTAATAAACACATTTATTAAAGCATCTGTATCCTAGCTACTCAGCTCAGGAGAATAAGATATAAGAATTGCAGTTCGAAGCCAGCACATGCAGAAAAGTCTTGTGTGAGTCTTATCTTCAATTTACCACCAAAACAAAAAATAAATAAATAAAAAAAAAAACAAATGGAGATGTGACTCATCAGAGTAGCCTTGAACAAAGAGCTCAAAGACAGCACCCGGACCCTTAATTCAAGCCTCTTGGACTAGCGGGTAAAAAAATATTTGAAGGCTAGGAGTATGACTACCTAGCAAGTGTGAGGCACAAAGTTCACTCCACTACTGCCAAGGAAAGGGAGAGAGGAGGAATGGGAGAGAAGAGAAGGCAGAAAAGCTACTTAAGTCAAGCGTAGTAGAACTGTCTATAATCTCAGTTACTTAGGAGGTTAAGTGAAGTAGAAAGATTACAAGTTGGAAATCAATCTGGGCAACACAGTAATGCTCCACCTCAAAACAGTAACAACAACAAACATTTAAACTTTCCTGTCTTGGAAACAAAATCCTATAAAACTTACTTAGTCTTAGGAAAGACTTCAGAAAATTCTACACTCTGAGTAAGCCAGACCATCTTTTTTGTTTGTAATACAAAGGTACCATGGTATCACTTCCAGAATTTTGAAATACATATACTATATATATAGATATATATATGATACATACACACATATACTCACATGTATGTGTCTATATATGTGTATATATACGTGTATACATTTTGTTAAATGTGACAAAAGATTTCAGTACAGTTCTAGAATAGTTCAGATGAAACATTCTTAAAGGAATATCAGTGATCCAGTCAAAATATGGTTAATACAAGTTACATATTAAGGAATACCTAACATGTAGAAATTATGTTTACTGATCGTTCATACATCCCTATCTTTCCTGCAAACTACACATCTACCATGAAGTCAGTGTTCAGGCTCTGATGTTAAAATGGACATCAGCTGGCTACTGTGAGAATATTGTCTTTTCAGATTAGAGCCTATGGCCTGAATACATTACAGGTGGACAGTGCTTATCTGAACAATAGAAACAGCAAGCAGAGAACTAACACAGCTCCATTCTGCAAACCCAAATCCACATAATGATATACTTTGACGAATAGTCTTAAATGTGAACATGAGAAGTATTAATTTATCAAAGCACATTACTTTAAGAAACAAGATACCTGGAAATAATCATAATGAAATCCCTTACAATATATAATTAATATATATCAATAAAAAACAATGAAGGTAAAACCTGGATTTTAAATGCCAAGAGATTTAAGACTGGTTTTACAAACTTTCTGAGGTATTCCTCTGTAAGCAACCATGGCCTCTGTACCTATGTTCTTTGTGCTCCAATAGCTGGCAGTCTCTACAGGTCAGTCTATCACATGTTTCACAAAAAAGTTTCAGCTGCTCTTGTTTGTGTACAGGGCAGAAAACCGGACGCTGACCAGATGTTCCAACAGACTCTGTAGCAAAATAAAACAAATGCTTTTTAAACAAAATAAAAGTTTTGGCTAATGTTAATTTTTTTTTAATGTAATCCAGGCTAGCCTTGGCCTTCTACCTCAGCCTCCCAAGTGCTGACTATAAGTATGTGTCACCATGCCCAGAAAACATTGTAAATTCTTAACTGAGGCTAGTATTCAAAATGCATAAATGAGGAGACCATGCTACAGTATCCGAAGAGTAAGGCTGGTGAGGATCACTGGGATTCTTACCTGAGACATCTTCCTTCTTCCTGATCAGGTGATCTTTAGTGAACTTGACTCTCTGATGTGCTTCAATACAGGTCTTACACAGCCACTCTCCACATTCTACACAAAAGCCAACGGCATTTGCATTGTCTTCACAACTAGTACATACCTATAAGAGACAAATACTAACCCATATTAAATTTACCAAACATAGACTCATAAAATAAAGCAATTAAAAAAAAACTTCTCGGGGCTGGGAAGGTGGCTCAGTGGTAGAGCGCTTGCCTTCCATGCCTGAGGCCCTGGGTTCGATTCCTCAGCACCACATAAGCAAAAAGAAAAAAAGCCAGAGGTGGAGCTGTGGCTCAAGTGGTAGAGGGCTAGCCTTGAGCTGAAGAGCTGAGGGACAGCACCCAGGCCCAGAGTTCAGGCCCTACGACTGGACCTCCCCCCCCCAAAAAAAAAGAAAAAAAAAAACTTCTCAAACTTTTTCTCAAATATATTGGCTACACTGATGTATAAAGAATAAAATTAGCCGGGTGCTGGTGGCTCATGACTGCAATCCTACTCAGAAGGCTGAAATTTAAGGATCCCAGTTTGAAGCCAGGCCAGGCAGGAAAGGATTTGAGATACTTATCTCCAATAAAGGTACTAAAAAGCCAGATGTGGAGCTATTGTCCTAGTGGTAGAGTGCAAACCTTGAGCCCTTAGTTCAAAAGTCCAAAGACCAACACAAAAATAAAAAATACACACCTGTAACCCTAGCTACTCAGGAGGCTGAGATCTGAGGATCACAGTTCAAAGTCAGACTGGGCAGGAAAGTCCATGAAACTCTTTTTCTCCAATAAAACCACTCAGAAAACTGGAAGTGGCACTGTGGCTCAGGTGGTAGAGTGCTAGACTTGAGCTGAAGAGCTGAGGGACAGTGCCCAGGCCCAGAGTTCAAGCCTTACAACCGACCAAAAATAAATAAATAAACTAAAATAAAAAATAAAATCATTTTGTTATCCGTTTATCCCCAAGAAAATCCTCTTTAGAGATCAAACATTGAGGCAGATAAAATTCCAAAGCTCAGAACAGACAGTCTAAATCAGATTTGACTTTTCTTTGCTGTTGTTTTTTGAAGTCACTAGAACTTGAACTCAAGGGTCTTAAACATATGCAAGCCTACTTGAGCTATACCTCCAGCCTCTTTGATTTTAGATTATTTCAGATAGTCTCATGTTTTCTTGTAGGCTGGCCTCAGACTATGACCCTCTGACTTATACCTTCCTAATAACTCAGGCTACAGGCATGCAATACCACACTCAGCCTGTTTTGCTAAGATGAGATCTTACTAATTTTCTTCCCCAAGTTGGCCTCAACCTGAGATCCTCCTCAATTTCATCTACCCAGTAGGTAGAGATTCTAGGTGTGAGCCACCAGCTACTGATTATTTAAGTAATAATTGTTTCAATTAACCAAGTTTGAGGATAAAGAAAAAGCTATCCTTTATTGTTTTCAATTTGAATGACTTAATTATCCAACCATGCTTTTCTTAATTAACATACTGATTTCAAGACAAGAATATAAAGAAAAATTAAGGTGCATACCTGTTCTGACTTCTCATCAGAACTGCTAGGGGCTTCAGATGTGTCTTTCACAAAATAATTATCCACAAGGTCTATCTGTCTGCATTCCTGGCGGCACACTGGACACCGTATCACACCAACTACAATACAAAATGCAAAATTAAATCTTATTATTCATGTAGGCGGGACAGAAACTGTTCATCTTGACACTATGGAAAGCACACATATGACACAAAGAAAAAAGAAATACAAATTAAGAACTGAGTACTGAGTACAAGCCTGGCGCCGGTGGCTCACATCACATCTATCATCCTAGCTACTCAGAAGGCTGAGATATGAGGATCACAGTTCAAAGCCACCTCAGGCAGGAAAAGCCATGACTCTTAACTCCAATTAACCACCACAAAACCAGAAGCCAGCACTGTGGCTCAAAATGAGAGAGTGCTAGCCTGAGCACTTAGGCCCTGAGTTCAAGCCCCATGACCAACAAAAGAACTGAGTAAAAAACCAGCCCAGTTATTCCACTAGGAAAAAAAAATGATACTGTGTATTTAGGAAGAGAAAACGTCAACTAAAATTCCCATCCAAAATAGTGCTGAGATATGCAGTTGGCTGGATAACAGCTCTACAAAAATCTCACCAAAACCTATCAGCAGCATGTAAAAGGGACGTGATTAAACGAGGTCTCTTGAGAGTTGGAATATTTCCGGATTATCCAGAAAGGGACTAAATGTAATCAAGTGATCCTATGAGAAGTAAAAGCAGATCAGATAAGCAAAGAGACACCTAAGGTAAAGCAGATACTGGAGTGGCATGCTTTGAGGATGAAGGAAGGGACCAGAGCCAAGAAAAAATAGCCACCAGATGTTAAGAGGGACAGGAAATCGATTGTTCTTATAGGCCTGAGGAAGCAAGTCAGTCCTGTCAAAACTTGACCTTAGCCACATGGAACAGACCTCACAATTCTAGACTCCAGAACTCTAAGAGAAATTAAGATCTGTATTTTAATAAGACACCAAATTCAGAGTGATTTTGTTGCAGCAGCAATAGAAAATAAGCCATCACTTTTTCAAACTTTGACTTGTTCCAGATTTAACATTAAAGTTTACGTTAAGAATGAAAACTCAGCCCCAAACTCAAACTACTTCTGCATCAAGAATGATACTGAACTTTCAGATCAACTTAAGAAAATGTGGTGTATATACACAATGGAATTTTATGCTTCCATCAGAAAGAATGATATTGTATCATTCGTAAGGAAATAAAAAGACTTGGAAAAATATATTAGGCGAAATAAAAGAAACATAGGTTGCACGTTTTCCCTCATTTATTTTAACTAGAATGTGCCTATAAATTTATTACACACTGGATGCTGAAAGACAAAAAAAAACACTTGGACATGATAAATTATCTAGGACTCTAAGACAGTCACACAATGAAATCAAAGGAGGATATTCTTAGGAGAGGATCACAAAGGCTCAATAGCTATATTCACCTAAGATGATGCTTATTGAAATGAACTCCAAGAAATGGAAACGAGAAGAGTTTGGGTTTTTTGTTTTATTTTGCTTTTGGTTCATATTTTTTGGGTTATTTTTTCCTCCTTTATTTCTGTTTTTGATTTTTGTATCTTCTGTCTCCCATGTAGGTTTATCAGTCTTGGGAAGGGAAGGGGGAGCACAGAAAGGGTGGGACAAATGGTGAACAAATGTAGCAGTGATACTCACTAGACACTATGTTGAAAATGTATTATACAACTTGTCAGGAAGGAGGGTCAGGAGGGAAAAACTGGAAAAAAAAAACAGGGAAGAGGTAACTCTGTTCAAAAAGAAAGTATACATTACCTGACTTATATAACTACTGACCCCTTTGTAAATCACCTTTTTTTTTTCCAGTTGTGGGGCTTGAACTCTGGGCCTGGGTGCTGTCTCTCAGCTCTTTAGCTCAAGGCTAGTGCTCTATCACTTGTGCCACAGTGCCACTTCCGGCTTTTTTTCTGCTTATGTGGTGCTGAGGAATTGAACCCAGCGCCTCATGCATGCGAGGTAAGCACTCTACCACTGAGCCAACGTCCTGGCCCTGTAAATCACCTTTACCATAACAATTAAAAAAAAAAAAAACAAAACCATCCAGGCGCTGGTGGCTCACACCTGTAATTCTAGCTACTCAGGAGGTTGAGATCTCAGGATCACAGTTCAAAGCCAGCCTGGGCAGGAAAGTCCATGAGACTCGTATATCCAATTAACCACCAGAAAACTGTAAGTGGTGCTGGGGCTCAAGTAGAGCACTTGTATTGAGCTGAAGAGCTGAGGGACAGCGCCCAGGCCGAGTTCAAGCCCCACACCGAACCCCCCCCCCAAGGAAAAAAAAAAAACCTGAAGATACAAACACAACATAGATAACATAATCCAGGCTAATCATGAGAGCATAAGCGGTGATCCCAGCACTCAAGCAGCTGAGGCAGAACAAATGAAAAGGCCACCTGCTAGAGAAACCTCTCTCTAGTAATAATAATAATAATAATTCTGGCCTTCATAAAAGAGCTGAAGACAAAAACTTTACACAAATTATAATACCATATACAATCATTCTAGTAGAATATAAAAGTGTAAATATCTTAATTTTAGCCAGGCATGAATCATATGCCTCAAAATACACACACACACACACACACACACACACACACACACGCCATTCTAAAAATTGGGATATCATTCAGTCTCACAATGTTAAGACAAACTCAAATGTGATTATGTTAGAAAACAAAATGCTGTTCTACATAGCAGAACCTATAAGAATGTTCTGTCCCTTAAAAGTGTTTTAGGCCAGGCACTGGTGGCTCACACCTGTAATCCTAGGCCTGTAATCTCAGGAGGCTGAGATCTGAGGATCTCGGTTCAAAGCCAGCCGAGGCAGGAAAGTCCATGAGACTCTTATCTCCAATAAACCACTAGAAAACCGGAAGTGGCGCGGTGGCTCAAGTGGTAGAGTGCTCACCTTGAGCTGGAAAGTGCAGGGACAGTGCCCAGGCCCAGAGTTCAAGCCCCACAACTGACAAAAAGGAAGGAAGGAAGGAAGGAAGGAAGGAAGGAAGGAAGGAAGGAAGGAAGGAAGGAAGGAAGGAAGGAAGGAGTTTTAGTGTGTCTGAGCCCTTTCAGTGACAGTATATGAGTTTAGCCAGGGTGCTAAATGCCTTCTGGGGAAAAAATGCCTGTTTCAGAATACCTAGTGCTTGCTGTATTCAGGATGACTGCTGTGTGGACCCAGAGTCCAAGCAATTGAGGCACCAAGAGTCCAAGTTTCAGATGAGAATGCCTGCCTAACAATATTACCATGTATTCTCCCATGCTGTCACAGGCATAATTAGCTCACTGTCTAACTGCTGGAAAAGAATGCTTACAAGAAGCTTGCAACGACTTTCTCTTGGACTTCTCACCAAGCACCTTTTCTCTGCTGATTGTAACCTGTATGTTCACTGTAATAAGGCATAACCGTAAGTTTCTCTGAGTCCTGTGAATCATCTAAAAGATCATCGTGTGTCTAGTGGCTAATGACTGTAATCCTAGCTACTCAGGAGGAAGTTGAGTTCTGAGGATTGCCTTCTGAGGCCAATCCAAGCAAGAAAGGCTCTTATCTCTAATTAATTACAGAAAAAACCAGAAGTGGCACTGAGGCTCAAGTGGTAAAGTTAGTTACTAGCCTTGAGCAAAAAGGAGCTCAAGATAGTGCATAGGCTGAGTTCAAGCCCAAGGACCAAATAAACACACAGACACAGACACAGACACAAGCATTGGTGGCTCACATCTGTAATCCTAGCTACTCAGAAGGCTGAGATCTGAGGACTGCAGTTCGAAGCAAGCCCAGGCAGGAACGTCTGTGACTCTTATACCCAATAAACAACTAGAAAACCAGAAGTGGCACTGAGCTCAAGTGGTAGAGCATTAGCCTTGAGCTGAAGGAGAGTGCCCAGGCCCAGAGTTCAAGCTCCATGACAAAAAAAAAAAAAAAAAAAAAAGACAAAAAAAAAAAAAGGTAAGTTAATGTGAAAGGGTATTTTTGTTGAAGGGGAAGTATTTCTTGCTTTAAGGAAAAAAAAGTCAATATTGGGGACTATGTATGTGTGAATTCATGTGTGTGTGTGGGGGGGAGGTATACAGTAGCTGTTTATAATATGAGAACTTGATTCAATTCCTGGCAGAAAGAAAATAAAAAGATGGGAAAGGTTAAGGGGGAAGGGAGGAAAAAGAGGATTTAGAGAGTAAAAGGGAGGAAAAGGAATGACGTAAAGAAGACTCCAATATCACTAAAGTATTCATTATGACTGTGTTAGCAGACCCCTTGACGCCATCCCCACGGGTCCTTCTATTTCTTTTGAAAATCAGTAAGTTGATTCTCAGATTCTTATGAATTTCCAATTCAATCTAGAAGGCTGACAACAAAATTCATCTTTTTGATGATTGAGAAGCTAATTTTAAAAAATGGTGCCAGGTACCACAACAGTAACAGAACACTTTGCATTTTCTGGGGTTCTGTTTTTTTTTTTTCCTTTTTTTCCTTTTTATTAAGGAATGTGCCGGATGTCTAATTTTATTCACATCACTACAGAACCTGGAAAGCTGTTGCTGCTACTGATGCAGAACATGCTGCTATTATTGGTCTTTTTATATAAATATAAATACATACAAATATATAATTTGAAATTTTGCAAACTTTAACTGTGTTGTCAACTTTGGAAAAAGTATCCCAGTTTACCATGTTAAGTACATTGTACAAACATTAATAGCTATATTGGCCTAGAAATGCTAAGCTTAATTTTTTCCATTTGTACAGGTATAAACACATTGAATTAAATATGTAAAGTCTTACCTATGTGAGTTTGATTACAGAAATAAAATATACTCTAAATAATGAAAAAACAAATTCATCTTTTTGTAACTCTAAATCCCCACTAAAATACTACTTAATCAAACAACCCAAATTGCAAGGCAAACTACCAAATAAGCAGTTTTAAAATTATCTGAGATGGGGATATATCTGAGAGTCTTATTTGCTAAAAGGATTTTCAGGAGGGCTGGGGATGTGGCTTAGTGGTGGAGTGCTCACCTAGAATGCATGAAGCCCTGGGTTCAATTCCTCGGTA